CCGTGGCCATTCCCCAGCCTTGCCACTGTGTGCTCTGCCACATGTACACACAGCCATAGCCATTCTCCATTCACGCCACTGTGTGCCCTGCCCATGAGGTGCCCTCCGTGGCCACCCCCAGCCATGCCACTGAGTGCCCTGCCACATGTACACCCATCCGTGGCCATTCCCTGGCCACGCCACTGTGTGCTCTGCCACATGGGGTGACCTCCGTGGCCACCCCCGGCCTCACCACTGTGTGCTCTGCCATGTGTTTAGGGGAAGCTGTGCTGTGGTCTCCACAGGCGTTGTTTCTTACTGATGCCGCAATAGGAGTCAGCGCCCCCACCCGTGTACACTCTGCACTGGACTTCCATCTCCTCTGCTCGGGTTCAAGCAGGACTTGGTTGTGGCTGAGCAGGTGTGGCTCAGGGGCAGAGCACCCACCCAATAACCCTGAGGTGCTAGATTGATCCCAAGCTTCATTCCAGAGGAAAAAGCAAACCACGGTAACCAGCAACACAAAGAAGCCAACCAACACAGCAACACAGTGACAATCACACACCAACAGCCACAGAAAAGCAGCAAATTGTTCTAAATAAACAAAATAGTTAAAATAGTAAAATTAATGTTTAAAAGAATGGGACAGGAGACAGAAAAAAATCCCATTTTAATTTTTAAAAGATGAACTAACTGTGATAGCAGAAGTCTCAGGCAGGAAAGATGGAGGGACAGGGTGAACAGACACCACAGTGGTGCTCAGACAGCACGGAAGATGAACTCTACAACTGTGGGCGGGGAAGGGAGGGAAAAACTGGGAGACCGCAAGGGAACAGGTGACACGGTCCAGAAAGAAATGTACTCGTGCCAGGCACCGGTGGCTCACACCTGTCATCCTAGCGCTCAGGAGGCAGAGATCTGAGGATCAAAATTCAAAGCCAGCTTAGGCAGGAACATCTGTGAGACTCCCGTCTCCAATAAACCACTCAGAAAAAGCTGGAAACAGCACTATGGCTCAAGTGGTAGAGTGCTAGCCTTGAGCACAAAGAGGCTCTGGGACACTGCCCAGGTCCTGCAATCAAGTCCTGGGGGGAAGACGGGAGAAAAGGAAGGAAGGAAGGAAGGAAGGAAGGAAGGAAGGAAGGAAGGAAGGAAGGAAGGAAGGAAGGAAGGAGGGAAGGAGGGAAGGAGGGAAGGAGGGAAGGAAGAAGGAAAGAAGGAAGGAAGGAAGGAGGGAGGGAGGGAAGGAGGGAGGGAGGGAAGGAGGGAGGGAGGGAAGGAGGGAGGGAGGGAGGAGAGGGAGGGAGGGGAGAGAAAGAGTGAGGGGGAGGGAGGAACTCTTTATCTGACTTAGGCAATGGTAACTGGCAGAAAGAAAGAAAAGAAAGAGAGGAGGAAGAGAAAGAAGGGAGGGAGGGAAGGAAGGAACTCTCTACCTGGCTTGTGTAACTGTAACCCCTTTATAATAAAAATGAAAAATTATAATGTTTACTTTTTAAGTTAAAAAAATAGTACCAACCCCCTCCCCCCAAAAAGAAGGGGTTTCGGGTGGGGGGACCGGCTGGGATGTGGGCAGGGGGCATTCCTGGGGCAGCCGCCGGCTGGGACGGCCGTGTGTGCTCCTGGGGCCCGGGTTCCAGTCCAGCACTATGGGGGAGTCAGGACCACGTCCGGCTGTGTGTGTCCTGCTTGGCAGGATCACAGATGCAGGGTCATCCACAGCCCAGCACCTCCAGTGCCCGCATGGCGGGTGATTACCCCCCACCCCGTCCCGCGTGCTGGGCCCTGCCCGCTGACGCTGCTCGCTGTACTGTGACTCTCCGGCGCACGGCACCCTCCCGGTACCCACTGTGCCTCTAGCACCCTCTACCGAGGACCCGGGCTCTTGGTTTGAAGATGCTCTGCGGCCCCCAAAGGATGAGGAGGGGGAAGCCGCTCTGCACGTGAAGGAGCAGCAGCAAGCACCGCAGCAAACACAGCTCCCAGCACAGGACCGAGGCCAGGACCAGTGCCGACCTCAGGAACCCACCTGCACACACACAGCAGCCAGCACTGGATGTGTGGCTGCTCCGGTTCACACCAAGAAAGACACCAGCTCACCCGCTGTCAAGGTGGTGTTGCCCTTTATTCAATGCCATTCAGAGCAGCGGCCTCACGCGCCGAACGCCGCAGCTGAGGCGGACGCTGCTTCCATCACGGTGAGCAGAGCGCGGTGGCCAGGGCAGGTGCTGGGTACGGCCGCACTAGTGGTGGTGCTGCTTGAACTGCAGCCCGCAGTAGCCACACGTCCCTGTCTTTGTTTCTTTGTCCTGAAACAATGCACAAGGAGAGATCTCATGCCTCCACGCTCCAAGAGTCATGCGTCACAAATCATAAAGCGCACCCTGCCCACCAGGGGCTCCTCTGAAAACTCCACCAGGACTGACTCAGGGCCAGGAGGCCAGTCCTGTTCCCACCCCGCCCCATGGGGCCGGCCTCAGGCTTGCACAGCGACACACACAGCCGTCAGAGGGCTGAGGCCCACGACTCCAGCTGGGGTGACCGGTCCTGCTTAGCACCGTGCGCCTGCTACACCGTCTCCTTCCGGGGAGGCGCACCCAAGCCGTGCAGTGGCTTCTGGTGAGGATCACTCCAGAGAAGCGAAGGCCAGAGCTGTGTCCTCCCACACGCCATGCACACCTCCCCGCTCTCGCTTCCTCCCTGCTCTCGCTTCCTGGTGGTGGCAGGGCTGGACAGGTGCTGAGCCCCACCCTCCCGGGCCCCGGCAAGTCACCCTTTCTGCCTGAGTAGGCATTATCAGGAAAGAATCTGTCTTCTCTCCACCCGTTGTTTAAGCCCCGCCCCACCCTCACCACGGAGCTGGTGGTAATTAAGGTAAAAAGCAAGGCCACTAGGGTAGCTCTAATCAAATCAGTTTCTAGGGGTCCTTATAAGAAAAGGAAGTTAAGACAGAGACTCTCAGAGAGGCTGAGCATGAGAGGACACTAGGAGCACCTCAAGAGCAGCCTGCCTGCACACCCAGACCTGACCCAGCCTCCAGAACTCGGAGGGCAGAGGCCTGGGGCTCACGCGCCAGGCTCTGACTCTGCTCAGGCAGACAACACAGGGACCAAACAAGGACGTGGGAGAGGAGGGAAGAGTGTGAGGAGAGACAGTGGGCAGGGAGCTGACCATCTACGCTGGGAAGGGTCTGCCAACATGCCGTGACGTTGGGGAGGCGGAGGGAGGAGCAGCAGGCGTGCAGGGGACCGCTGCCGGCTGAGCGCGGGGTCAGCGAGGGCAGGCGCACGCGGTGTGCAGGCAGGCCGACCACATACCAGGTTTATGTACACCTTGGGGTGGCCGAGCGCACCCCCGCCGCCATCACAGGATATCACCCTGTGGTCCACCTCGTTCACAGGCTGTTCTGCTATCAAATCAATGGCAAAGTTCGCATTTACCTAGAAAAGGAAAAGATACACAGGTAAATACCGCACCTTGATGACCACACAACTCCACACGGGTGTGCGTACGCTCATTCACCGGCGGTGGGCGTCAGAGCACACAGTGCAGAGAATTCTCCTCTTGTCCAGATGCCCACCCGCTGCAGTGTCCGCTCTCGCACCTGAGCCTGTCTCTTCACACACGTGGTGACGGTCCTGTCCCCGTCCCCTGGTGTGGAGTGGTGACTGTCCCCGTCCCCTGCTGTGGAGTGGTGACTGTCCCCGTCCCCTGCTGTGGAGTGGTGACTGTCCCTGTCCCCTGCTGTGGAGTGGTGACGGTCCTGTCCCCTGGTGTGGAGTGGTGACTGTCCTGTCCCCGTCCCCTGGTGATTCCCCAGCCCTGCACACGCGCACCTGGCTTCCTGGGCCGTGTGTGTGTGTGTGTGTGTGTGTGGCCATGCACGGACTCGCAGTGAGCAGCAAGGGAGGACAGGTGCTCACCACTCACCCTCTCCGCCCTGCGCTGAGGAGCACCTGCTCAGTCCCGCAACACGGGACACATTTTCCACCTGGGCCTGACCCCCTGCCCGGGGCCTCCTGGGACAACAAGGACCACGTGAGTGTTGCTTCCAGAGCTCGGGAGGAGCCAGACTTGAGCACCTTTCTTCTGATTCCTTCTTCCTGGTTTCTTTTCTGAAACAAGGCCTCACTACAGGTAGACCAGACTGGCGCTGAACCCCCCCATCTCTTCTCTTACTGCACCCACACAGGGGCCATCTGGACCCCGTGTAGGTGTGGCCGCTCCTGCTCCCTATCTGTGTACCCTTCGTAGTGAGCTCCTGGTACCCACCGGCACCCACCGCTCCCTTCACGGCGCCCAGCGTCCTCATCTGTGTGCCTTTTCACGGCTGAGTGGTACCCCAGTGTACGCCCCACACCCTGCTCAGCTCTTCCCCTGCGGGGGGTCGTCTGCACTTCAGCTACTGAGCACGAGGCTGCCTCATCATGACGGGCTGTCACCACAGCACCCACACCCGGCAAACGACTCAAGGACGGGACTGTGTTGGCTCACAGCCTCAGAGGTCTCAGCGCACGTCCAGCTGGCTCCACCGCCGTGGCGAGACGGGCTGAGCGCCACAGCGGGAAACAATGCTAGAGCGGACCCGCAGTCACGGCGCCGGGGCGCTCGCAGTGCCTCTTCCTCCCACCTGGCCCACCTCAGCTCCCACACATCCAGGAGCGCACCACGCCAGGACTGCACCACGGGGCGCGCACTGACACTAGGAGCTCTCAGGAGCTCGGGAGGCAGCTCACATCCAGTCTACAACAACACCGCACGAACACCACATACTGCAACCTTAACAACACACGGACACTGCATATCCAGCCTGTAACAACATCGCACAAATACCGCATACTCCAACCTTAACAACACACGGACACTGCATATCCAACCTTAACAACACCGCACGAACACCACACACTCCAACCTTAACACCACCGCACGAACACCACACACTCCAACCTTAACAACACCGCACAAACACCACATACTCCAACCTTAACAACACTGCACAAACACCACATACTCCAACCTTAACAACACCGCACAAACACCACATACTCCAACCTTAACACTGCACGAACACCACATACTCCAACCTTAACGACACCGCACAAACACCACATACTCCAACCTTAACAACACCGCACAAACACCACATACTCCAACCTTAACAACACCGCACAAACACCACATACTCCAACCTTAACAACACCGCACGAACACCACATACTCCAACCTTAACAACCGCATGAACACCACATACTCCAACCTTAACAACACCGCACGAACACCACATACTCCAACCTTAACACCGCACGAACACCACATATCCAGCCTGTTAACAACACCGCACAACCACCACATATCTAGTCTGTAACAACACTGCACAAATATTCCATGCTCCATCCCTAACAGTACTGCACAAATATCCCAGACATCCTGCCTTCTGTCCCTGTGGGCACAGCTAGGAGAGGAACCCCAGTTCTCTTCCACATTCCCAGCAGTGCACGCTGGTGTGTGTGTCAGCACATGGCCTCATTTCTCCATTTCCTCCAATCCAGCTTGAGTTCACAGCAGACGCTGGTAGACTTCCTCTCCTGAGCACTCTTTGCAGCCAGTTACTTCCACTGACAAAATCTACCCTCAGTGATTTCCTCAGTTAATTCGGATCATGGGGAAAGTGCACCCCAGCGGCACGGAACACCCATACCACCAGTGCATGGCAGCTGCAACCAGAGAACAGACAGGTGAGGCCAAGATGTGGGACTCACTATTGCCAGTCCACGAGGCTGTCCAGAACCCCTGCTGGCTCTCGAGAAACCACACCTGCAGCGTTTGTAACAGACACCTGTGTTCATTTGCCAACTCTCACCAGGGTTAAGACAAGGGGGTGGGGAGCAGGACCAGGGCTCCATGGTCCTTGCTGCTCAGCTGTCCACCTGTGGCCTGCGGCCACACCCCCATCCACCTGTCAAAGCTCAGCACACAAGTGACCTCTGCACCTCGAGAAGCCTTGCCTACAGCTGACAGGCAGGATACAACTCTTCCTGCCTCCCTTCATCCCACTCAGGAGTAAACCGGCGGACATCTGAACCCCAGCGCACACTATGTGGGCTTAGGAAGAACAGACGCCCTGTGGCTTTGCAGCAGCAGGCCACACGCCAGACAGTGAGGAGGGGGACAGGGGAGCTGAGACCAGAGGACAGGAAAACGGTGACTCAGGATCACAATAGTGAGACAAGAAGAAACGACGGGCTGGCTGAGGTTGGAAGGGACTGGCGGCAGAACGGAGGAAGGCCAGTCAGAAGGGCGCCAGGGCCGGCAGGCCTGGGTGTTGGAGGAGGAATGAGGAGGCTTGTTAGGCAGAAGGCTCTGATCACAACCTTCCTCCCCAACAGCAGTGCCCAGGTCTGGACTCAAAACATGATCCTCTTGTTCTCAGCCTCTGAAGCAGCTGGGCTCATAGCCTGAGTCACAGCGCCACGTGATCACGGATCTTTACTCACCTCTTTCTGACGACCTACAAATCGCACTTTCCTGTAGTCCTTCTCATCGTAGACCTGGAAGAAAAAGACCCCGGTGCCTGCCACAGAGCTAGCGTGAAGGGGGTGTGGAGTGCAACGGTAAAACGTGGTTTTCTCAGCATTTAGGCCATAGACAATTAGTTCACACCCAAGGGGAGAAGGACTGGTGCTGCTGGAACCTTGCCTGCAGCAAGGACGGAGGGCTGAGGAGGCGGGCAGGGCGGGAAAGGGGAGGAGGGAGGGCTGAGGAGGCGGCAGGGTGGGAAAGGGGAGGACTGAGGGCTGAGGAGGCGGGCAGGGCGGGAAAGGGGAGGAGAGAGGGCTGAGGAAGCAAGGTGGACAGGGCGGGCTGAGGAGGCTGGAAGCAGGGAGGACGGGCTGAGGCATTGGGCGCAGGGCGGGCACAGGGCGAGTGGAGGGGAGGATGGGCAGCAGGGAGGGTGGACGGAGCATAAGGCGCAGGGCCGGCTGAGGAGGCGGGCAGGGCGGGTGAGCGGAGCAGACAGACAGCAGGGCGGGCAGCAGGGCGAGCAGCAGGGCTGAGCGGGCAGCAGGGCGGGCTGAGTGGGCGGGCAGTAGGGCGGGCAGCAGGGCTGAGCGGGCG